TGAGTACTCCAACCACCTGGGCTGTAGGTGGTGTAATAGTGAACTTCCACTCTGATCTCCAAYGACCATTCCTATTAAAACATACACATACAGTGCTGCAGAATTAGCAATAGGCACAAGAAAGAGGTGATTTACCACTGAGGCCAAAAAGTTGAAAAACATTTTTGAGGGGTGGGGGAGGAGGGGACCAGTCATTTCCAATTTGATAAATCCAAGGCATACTCAAACCTAAGTCTGGAACCAAGTGGCCTGACCATAATTGTTTTCTAAATTATCTGGATTTCCACTTTTYCTTAGTTTGCTTTGAAGTGAACCATGCCCATTCTGTTCATGGTAGGTTCTTCTGAAAATGGACAGGCTGCTGAGTTACATAATCAACTCAAATATTACTAACCCTTACCCAAGTAAAACTCAATAATTTCAACTGGGACTTTATATTAATCATTTGTTCCCACTCAATATAAAAGTAGTTTTTAAAAAGATATGGCTATAGAATCTAAGAATTGGAGCTGGGTGTGGTGACACACTCYTGTAATCTCAGTGACTCACAAGACTAAGACAGAAGGACTACAAGTTCAAGACCAGCCTCAGTATCTTTGTGAGACCCTGTCTCAAAACAAACAAACAAAAATAACAAGAACTAGGATGTAGCTAGTGGTAAAGCACCCCTCGGTTCAATCCCACATATTGGGGAGAAAACAAAACAAAAAAACAAAACCCCCAAACCAAATTAGAATTGGAAGGAACCTAAATAATGTCTAAATTCATAGATGGTGAACTAAAATCTTGTAAATAAAAAAATTTACCCTGCTGAGGCAGGAGAATCAGAAGTTCAAGGCTAGCCTCAGGAATTTAGCAAGACCCTCAGCAACCTAGTGAAACCCTGTCTCAAAAATAAAAAGGACTAGGATATATGATAAATTAATAAATGCTGGGAGCAGCGAATGAATTATATAATCCTTGAGCTGTCCGGCGATGTCCCTCCTGGGAACTCTCTGCGCAAAGGCCTAGATTTRAGACTGCCCAGCTGCTGTGGTGATGCCCTGTTCAAAGGGAAATTCCATGCTAGCCAGGGACTTATCAGTTCTTAACCTTGGGTTCTAATGACAGCTGCCCACAGGTGGAGAATTATGGGCAAAAGCTGATAGTTCTAATTGGCCTGTTTATACCCTCCACTTTGGTTCTGTTAAGAACTTTAAGAAACTTTCTCACAACAAATCCTTTTGATGTTAAAACCTATATAATAAACATGCTGAACTGGTTCTGGGTTGTCCATCCCTCATCAGGGGATGGAGAACCATGGGGCCCCAGCTTTTTCTCTATTTGTCTTGTTTCCATCTCCTTATCACCTGGTCTGGTATCTGAATTAACTGCTGTGCAGTTTGCAGCAAAAAAAAAAAAATTCTCAAAATAGATAAAAATTGCTGATTTCTCTACAAAATAATTAGATGCAAACAAAAGAGAATATCTATTTCTTACCAGAAGTTTTTAGGCTGAAACTGGTGGCTTTCAATACATGCAATAATAGTCTGTTGCCCATCTATAGTTTTAGCATAAACCTATTGGGGAAAAAAAAAATCAGACTAGAAAAACACAATTAATCTAAATGACAGATAATGCACATAAGCAGTGTGCTAAATCCTTGAGACAGACAGAATAAGCAAAACATAGCACTCACAACCAGATCCTGTTAAATTCTTTAAAAAAAAATATGTACATATATTTAGTTGTAGGTGGACACAATACCCTTATTTTATTTTTTTATGTGGTGCTGAGGATCGAACCCAGTGCCCTGTGCATGCTAGGTGAGCACTCTACCTGAGCCACAACCCCAGCCTGAGATTCTGTTAAATTCTAACAGAGACAGAGGTACAATGAATAGAGGAAAATATTGCTCCCGGCTTAGAGTTTAATGGAGATGCCATTTAAGCTGAGCTTTACAAAGCAGATAAGATTCTGATAAKCAGAGACTGAGAATAAAGACCAGTTAACAGCTCAGGCATGAAATCAAGGATTTGTTAAGTGAATGGCAATTAGGTCATCAGGTTTAGAGGGTATGTGTAAAGTAGACTAGTGGGAGACAGAATGGTAGATTTAGACCATACAGTAGTAGATATAAGTAAAAACTTTAGATTTCATTCTACAGGAAGCAGAAAGAGAGTAAAACAACATGACCAAAACTATTATATTGGGAGAATATGACCAGCACTATTATTTTTGGAGAATGACCAATACTGTTATACAGGAAAAAAGGGAAGAAAAGCTGGAGGCTGGTTAGAAGACCACATAAATTAATTTAGGTCATAATCTAGGGTAGTATCAAATGGTAATGAAAAGGAAGGGTTGCAGACAGAATGCATAAGTTTAGCAATATATTGTAACTNTATACAGGAAAAAAGGGAAGAAAAGCTGGAGGCTGGTTAGAAGACCACATAAATTAATTTAGGTCATAATCTAGGGTAGTATCAAATGGTAATGAAAAGGAAGGGTTCCAGACATAATGCATAAGTTTAGCAATATATTGTAACTGAAGGGTTAAACAAACAAACAAACAAACAAAAAAAGGAAGGGCCAAAGTATTTGTACATCTGGATGACTAGGAAGATGGTGGTATCAGTAACAAACTGGGAAATCTAGATGGAAATGTCTAGCCAGTAGTTACAGAAACACCAACTCTTCCTTATAGTAGAAATAAATGGAAACAATTACTAGGGAATGCAAAGAAGCCATCAAATTTTAGAGTTCACATAATATGTTTTCACATATTATTTTCTTTTTGCTCTAATAAAACTGGTAAAACAACAACAAAATAAAACAAAAGGCATGTTTATCATCCACAAAAGGTAAAGTTGAAGTTAGTTCATAGGTGTTTCTGTCCAAGGTCTCTTAAGAGAATAAGTGGTGAAGATAAATCCCAAACACATTGTTTTTCTAACACTAAGTCTGTGTTACTTTCCCTATATTTAGTGGACTATGAACTTTCAAGAGTATTTTAAAAGTTTTGGGTTATTAGAAAATTAGAGACAAAGTAAAAAGAATTAATTGGTATTGATAATAGCAGTCTAAGCAAAAGATCATTTCTATTTTCTGGGCTCAGTATGAAACAGCAACTTTTTGTGGTCAAGGACCACAAAAACGGTCACTAGATCAAGTGATTCAGGAACCATTAATACTCTTAGAGAGCACTTTCTATAGGATGGAGACTATAAAGTAAAACTCAAAGGCTCATAAGTGGATGAGTAATGAGAACATGGCACTAGTAGGGGAAGAAGGCCCAATGATTTGGAGGGTAAGGAAGAAAACAAAGGAGAAACAGCAAGATGAAGAGAAACAACTTAGAGGAATTATCATGATTAAAGTTTTATCTCCATTAAGTACAGGAAAAATAAGAACATTTCTAAGTAATGAGAACTATATAAGAAGAAAAAACAAAGTCATATAAAATTGTCTTAAAGTACACAGGATAGTATGAAACCAAGAGTAAGAACCTTTCTTTCTCAAATTCAAGTATAACGAAAAAGTTTTTCAGTGTGGAGGGAAGAGAAAAAGATTTTATGTGAGATTCACAACTAATAAAACATTGGGGATTAGATGCCCATCTAGGACAAATAAGAATTGTCTGGAAAATGCCACATAGAAAATGTGATAGKTAATAATGAGTTGAAATTACTAAAATAGATTACTAAGCAAGACAGCTAAGAATATAGAAAACTAGTGTACAGTAGACACCATTAGAAAAATTCCAGCACTGTGTTGCTCATTTGATAGCTAAGAGAAGTGAAAAAAGACCCCTGAGGTTATTTGCCATTGAAACTCTCCAAATTAAGAATGGGGAATAACAAACTTTGAATAGGTAACAAATGACAAATTGAAAGTATATTTAGGATCGAACAGCCAATTTCTAAAAGGAAGTGTATCAAGTCTCCCACTGCAATACTGGGTTCCAAAAAGGAATTCTGTACTGGTATCCACCAAGATGGCTTTTCTCCTTTATTAAATAAATAAATAAAATAATAATGTTATCTACCATTTAGGCAGGGCTTACTTTGTGCCACTGTTTTAAGCACTGTAAATGCATCATTAACTCATTTAATCTTCACATCAATACTATGTGGTAAGAACTACTTCCATTTCAAATGAGAAAACAGACATAGAACTATTAAGTCATTTACCTAAGGTCACACAGCTAGTTAGGTGACAGGGCTAAGACTCAAACCAGTTATTAAAGTTTAAATGTAAGTGCTCTTAACTAACTTTCTATATTGCCATTTAACTCATCATCATCACATATTTAAAATAGTCTAGTTAATGTATTGTTTTTGAAAATTGCTTAGAGATTAGATTTTCAGCATTCTCATTAAAAAAAAAAAAACCTGTTAGGTAATACATGTTAATTAGCTCAATTTAGCCATTCCACAGTGTATTCATATTTCAAAACATCATGATTTTATTAATTGATATAAGTTTAAAATACAATAATAAAAA